CAAGTCAATTTATACCAACAATAAGAAAGAGTAAAAATGTGGAGCTTATGCACTTGGATCGATATGTTTTCGAAAGATGCTTTCAAATTAAATGAACTGAAAGAWGTCATGCTGGACATGCTATGCCATGATATGGTTGGTATAGAGACAACAAAACACAAATTCACAKAAGCTTACTCACTCGGGACCAGATGAAATAGAGACTGCAGAGTCAAAAAGCCCAGATCCCAAAGGTCCAACTTTTGCTTTCTCTACCCGCGAACCATGTCTTGTAAGATCCAATCTAATAGCCTCTTTCTGACTCTTCAGGCCAACTGCCTGTTATAAGAACCCAAGTGCTTTAGAGAGAAGTTCATTTAAACCATGCAGTGCAAGAAGGTAACCTCACCCCAACTAAAACTGAAGGTTTTCATTTATTCAGCAGAAGAATGTTTAAAATGAATTGTATCACAGCTGTATAATATGCAGATCATAACAACTATTGTATTATTTTTATCAGCAACTGTTAAAGCATGGTTAGCCAGATTAAATATTTGAGCTATAGAAGAATTGCCTATAGCCCATTAAAAAATGGGATGGACTACCATGCATAGAGAAAATTCATTTGTGAAATTGCTGCTAATATTTCTTTTCCCTCTCAAAAGCACAGATATTACCAAAGGGCAAAACCAGAATTCTCATAAATAAAATTCTATTATGTTGAAATTATATACCTTGCTTTGTTTTATTTGTTTCTTTAAGTCAAAATCAAAGGACTGTCTCTGCTTTTCACAGGGATGTAATTACCTACTATCCATATGTTTTTTTTTTTTATCAATAACAGTGAATTTTATTAAAGATTGAGAAATTACATAGCTAAGGAGCTAAAAAATCTTAACTCCCTAATACATCAATGTATACTCAAACCGTAAATCAATTACAAAACAGCCCAAAAATTAGAGTTTCTTTTCACTCCTTGCCTGGCTAAACCATCTGCCAATGAGTTTGCACATCTGTTTACCCATGTACACTTCAATGTCCTTAGTCAGCCACTTAAATCTCCTCTTTTCATTGCTGTAGTTCTAGAGCTTGGAGTTGTCCTCTTTTAACCAGTTCACTACAATTTCAGAATCACCTTCTATGATCAATTTATTAATATGCATGTCTTTGACCCTTTGTACCCCTTCAAGAGCT